GGTGCGGGACACCGGGATTGGGTACGGAACACCGGGATTGGGGTACCGGGCACCGGGATTGACCAGGGTGTGAGGATTCCAAACCGGGCACCGGGGCCGCCCCGAGTTTGGGGGACCGGGGTGTGAGGATTCCAAACCGGGCACCGGGGCTGCCCCGGGCGTGTCCGGGTGTCGGCTCTCTGTCCGACCCCGGATTTGGGGAGTCCCGGCCGCTCTTGCCGCCGTCCCCGCGGGCCGGAACCCCCCCGGCAGCGGCCCCGGGGCGGTGTCAGCGTGCGGGAGGGAGCGCGGCTGAGTCACCGGCAGGAAACCGAGCGGTTGCATCAGAAGCAGAGCCGTCGGTCCGGTCGGGGCAGTTCGGGAGGGAAAAAAATTTTTAAAAAATCGCGTTCCCAAAATCCCTCCCCGCAGCATGGAAAAAGAAGACGATCCCTGCTCCAGCAGCTCGGCAGCTCCGTGCAGCACGCAGGGCTTGAAGGAGGAATTGCTGTGCCCCATCTGCTACGAGCCGTTCCGGGAAGCCGTGACCCTGCCGTGCGGCCACAACTTCTGCAGGAGCTGCATCAGCCGCTCGTGGGAGAACCAGCGGCACGCGTGTCCCCTGTGCAAGGAGAGGTCCTCGCTGGAAGATCTCCGCGTCAACCACACGCTCAAGAACCTGGTGGAGCTGGTGATGAAGGAGGAAGGGCAGCGGCAGAGCCGCGGCGTGGCTCTGTGCCCGCTGCACCAGGAGGAGCCCAAGTTCTTCTGCCTGGAGGACAAGGAGCTGGCGTGCTTCGCCTGCCAGAGCTCCGAGCAGCACGAGGGGCACAAGATGAGGCCGGTGCAGGAGGCGGCGGCGGATTTTAGGGTGAGGGAGGGAGAGTGGCTGCCTGAGGAGGAGGAGGAGGAGGAGGAAGAGGGGGAGGAGGAGGATGGGATGCAGCCAGGAGCTGGGAATGCTGCCAGGACATGCTGGAAAACAGCCGGCGCCGCCCTGACTCATCCCGCTGGATTTCAAACGTGGCGGGAAAAGCTTGGCCGGTGTTCCTAGGAATGGGAATGGGAATGGGGCTGCCACGGCACTGGGATAGGATATCCCTAAAAAACAGGGAGGAGGATTCCCTATGGAGCAAAGCTCCTCTTCTTCCTGCCTGCCGGAGGGGAAGAGTTGGATGGAGCAAGGATCCTGCTCCAGGGGTGTTTATCCTGGAAAAATCCCAGAAAATCCTGGGAATGGGGGAGTCCTGAGGGCGTCTCCTCCCCGCAGGCCAAGCTGGCGAACATGGAGTCATCCCTGCGGGATAAGGCCAAGGATTTCGGGGCCGTGCGGCGATCCTACGAATCCATCTCCCGGCACAACGAGGTGCGTGTTCCCTCCCGGAGCTGGGATCGATCCCAGTCCTGATCCCGATCCCCATCCCAATCCTGATCCCGATCCCAATCCTGATCCCGATCCTGCACGTTCACTGGGGTGGAGCTCCGGTCCCATCCAGGAGAGGAGAGTGATGGGGATTTGGGAAGCAGGGAAGGGAATTTGGGAAGGGCAGTGTGATCCCATTGAATCCCAGGGAATCCCTGAGCTCTGTGAAGGTGGAATCCAGGGAATTCGGGTGCTTCAGAGGTGGGATTGATCCCAATCCCAATCCTTCACATGCACTGGAGTGGAGCACTGATGATGGATGGATGGATGGATGATGGATGGATGGATGGATGGATGGGTGCGTGGATCCATGGGTGGATCCGTGGATGGATGAGATGGATGGGTGGATGGATGGATCCATGAATGGATGGAGAGATGGATCCATGGATGAATGGACAGATGGACAGATCAACGGAAGGATGCATGGATCCATGGAGGCATCCATGGATGGATGAAGGGATGGATCCATGGATGGATAGAGGGATGGATGAATCCATGGAAGGATCCATGGATGGATAGAGGGATGGATCCAGGGATGGAGGGGCAGATGGATGGATGGATGGATGGAAGGATGGATGGATGGATGGATGGATGGACGGACAATCTATGGATGGAGGGATGGATCCATGGATGGATGGATGGATGGAGGGATGAATGCATGGGTGGATCCACGGAGGGCTCCAAAGAGGGATCCCTACCAAGCTGCGAACTTCCCATAAAACATTCCCCTTCCCGGCCAGTCCCCTTCAGCCTGGACCCCAACTCTGCCGCCGGCTGGCTCTCCGTGTCCGAGGACCTCTCCAGCGTCTCCAGCTGCGGCTACAAAGGCTCCGTGGAAAACCCGGAGCGCTTCACCTCCGCCCCCTGCATCCTGGGATCCCGCGGCTTCTCCGAAGGCTTCCACACCTGGGAGGTGGACCTGGGCGGGCTGACCAACTGGAGGGTGGGCGTGTCCCGGCCCCACAAAGGATCCCACTGGAGTTTCCACCACGATTCCCGCTCGGGCTTCTGGTACATCTACCACCTCCACGGCAAGGACGAGTGCCGGGCGTCCAACGCCGTGCGCTCGCAGACGGCGCTGGGCAACATCCGGCGGGTCCGGGTGGAGCTGGACTGCACCGAGGGGGAATTGTCCTTCTACGACGCCGAGCTCCAGAGCCACATCTACACCTTCCACGAGAAGTTCGGCGGCGTCGTCTTCCCCTATTTCTACGTGGGGAGCTCCCAGGGGGACGCCAACACCAACACGCTCCGGATCTGCCCGCTCCGGGTCCGCGTCCTTGAGGATGTCCCCACCTAGGGCGCCTCCTGGTGGGGTTCTCCGGGTGTTTTTCCAGCTTTTCCAGGTGGGAAAAAGGAGGATGAGCAGGGATACAAAGAATATTTGTTTGTAACGTCTCAGGTTTTTATCGTTAATAAACTTTAATAAATATTAGAAATGTTATCGATGTATCTCCCTGTGTGGTTCTGTGCCCAAATCCCAAATTTTCCTGCCGCTCTCTGGCGTGGATCCAAACTGGGAATGCTGTGGGGGGAAGGGATTTCCCTGACAAATAAGGATCAAATAAGGAATTAAAGGATTTAGGGGCTTTCCCTGCAGTTTTCAGGGATCCAGGAATCCACGCTGTGAACGGCGATCCTTATCCCAGCTCTTGGAGTGGGTAAATCCCACGGGATTTGACACATGGAAAACCATCAGTGGGAACATCCCTGGGAGTATCCCACCTCCTCCACCCTTTTCCCCATGACTTTATCCCTCCAAGGGGTTTTTTTCCCGGAATTCCCAGCTCTTCCCAGGAATCCAGTGAAGATGCATCACTGGTGTTGGGAAAATGAGGAATTTCGGAGTTTTTACCTGGAATTAAACATTTTTTTCCCAGGTCCGGGTGAGTCCTTGGGATTTCCATGGGGAAAGGGAAGGGGTCTGGGTGGCCCTTCCCGACCTTTTCCTGCCTTTTTCCTGCTTTTTTCCTGCCCGGATTCTGACGGAAGCGGGTGGTTTCCATGGTTTCCCACCATTTGCTCGGGAAGTTCCTCGGGAACAGGAGCTGGAGGAGGGAAAACAAAAGGGAGATGCTGGAGCTGGGGGCAACCCCGGGATCCTCCCACGGTGTATCCCTGGATATGGCAAAGCAGGAAAAAGGGGATTTGCAGCATCCCAAATCCCTGCATCCCATCTATCCCATCCCATCCCAGTCCCAATCCCATCCCATCTTCTTCCATCTCCATTCCTTTTCTGTCCCTTGTCCATCCTTATCCCATCCTATCTCCATTTTCATCTGTATCCCAATCCCAATCCAATCCAAATCCCAATTCTAATCCCAATCCCAATCCCAAATCCAATTCCACTCCCATCCCACCCCAATCCCATCCCATTTCCAATCTTATCCCAATCCCCATCCCATCCCCAACCCCACTCCCATCCCATCCCATCCCATCCCATCCCATCCCAATTCCAATTCCAATCCCAATTCCAATTCCATCCCATCCCACCTCAATCCCATCCCAATGCCAATCCTTGGCCAATCCCCACCCCATCTCCAGCCCCAATCCCAATCCTAATCCCAATCCCAATCCAAATCCCATCCCAATTCCAATTCCATCCCATCCCACCTCAATCCCATCCCAATCCCAATCCCAATCCCAATCTCATCCCATCCCAATCCCATCCCAATTCCAATTCCATCCCACCCCAATCCCATCCCAATCCAAATCCCATCCCATCCCATCCCAATTCCAATCCCAATCCCAATCCCATCCCAATTCCATTCCTATCCCATCCCATCCCAATTCCAATCCCCATCCCCATCCCAATCCCAATTCCAATTCCATCCCACCCCAATCCCATCCCAATCCAAATCCCATCCCATCCCATCCCAATTCCAATCCCAATCCCAATCCCATCCCACCCCAATCCCAATCCCAATCCTAATCCAAATCCCATCCCGCTTCCATTCCTATCCCTATCCCAATCCCATCCCCATCCCCATCCCCATCCCCATCCCCATCCCAATTCCATCCCAGTCCCAATCCAAATCCCATCCCAATTCCAATTCCATCCCACCTCAATCCCATCCCAATCCCAATCCCAATCCCAATCTCATCCCATCCCAATCCCATCCCAATTCCAATTCCATCCCACCCCAATCCCATCCCAATCCAAATCCCATCCCATCCCATCCCAATTCCAATCCCAATCCCAATCCCATCCCAATTCCATTCCTATCCCAATCCCAATCCCATCCCATCCCCATCCCCATCCCAATCCCAATTCCAATTCCATCCCACCCCAACCCCAATCCCAACCCCAATCCTAATGCCAATCCCAACCCCAATCCCAATCCCATTATCCCATTATCCCATCCCTCCGCCCCATCCCAATCCCCTTCCCCGTCCCATATCCCGACATTTCCCATCACCCCGAAATCCCAGCACTTCCCAGAATTCTGAGTATCCCAACACCAATTCAGGTTCGGGAATGTGAGGCCTGGGATTTTTCCCTTTTTTTTTTTTCCAGGAATTTTGGAGGAGAAATTTTGGGGAAGCACCGGAAGGGGTCGGGGGGTTCCTCTGCACCTTTTCCATCCCAAAATCTGGAATTCCACCGGGAAAAATGTGGATTCTTGTTTGGAAGGCTCTCACTGATTTTTATTTTTATTTTTATTTTTATTTTTATTTTTATTTTTATTTTTATTTTTTTCTATTTTCTATTTCTATCTCAATTTCTATTTCTATTATTTTTATTTCTATTTTAATTTTTCTTTTATTTTCTTTTTTTAAATTTTTTTTTATTTTTTAGGTTTTAATTTATTTTGGTTTTAGGTTTTAATTTCTAATTTTTAAATTAATTTTGTTTGATAGTGGATTTTTAAAAAAATTAATTAATTTTTATTTTTATTCTCTAGGCTTTTATTTCAACTTTAACATTAAAATAATTGTATTTCTAAAATGGTAAAATTCATTTTTATTTTTATTAACAGTTATTTTCATTTTTATTTTAAAACTATTTTTCCCTTTTTATTTTTGTTTTTTAAGCTTTCATTTTAGCTTTTAATTTATTTTTGTTTATTCCTATTTTTACATTTACCTTCATTATTCTTTTTATGTTTACCTTAATTATAAAATTTTAATTAGTTTGTGTTTAAATAAATGATTACTTCTGGTTTTATATTTCTTTTATATATTATTTTGCATTTTATATTTTATAGGAATATTTTATATCCATTCAATCATAACTATTTATTTATAATAATTTTTTTTTATTTTTAATTTATTTTGTATTTTGCGGGTATTGTATTTATTTTTATATTTGTTTTATATAATATCTTGGGGTTTATGTTTATATTTATATTATGTTCATTCTATATATTTTAAATTTATTTTATATATATTTTTGCATTTATTTTAATTTTATTCCATATTTATTTTCGCATTGTTTTGCAATTTCTTTTCTATTATTTTGGCATTTATTTTAAAATTTAATTCACATTTATTTTCACTAATTTTCCCCGTATTTTCCCCACATTTCCCGCGTCCCTTTTCCCCATTTTTTACCCAATTTCCAACAAAAATCCCATCACTTTTTCCCCATTTTTCCCACAATTCCCGCCCCACTCCCGGGATCCCCCTGGCCCCTCCCAGGATTCGGGGCGGGGCCTCCACAGCCGGCGGCTTTCCATTGGCTGTGCCTAATCTATGATGTCATTTCTAACCAATCAGCGCCCGACACCGCGCCTTTGCCCCGCCCCGCCCCTCCCTCCTGGTACCCGGAGCATCCCAAGGATTTGGAGGATTTTTGGGGGGATTTGGAGGATTTTTGGGGGCTGCGGGAGCCTCCGGGGGAGGTTCTCCGGGAATCCAGGGAGCCGCCGGCATTCTCAGGGACGGGGATCATGGAAAGGGAATGGTTTGGGCGGGAAGGAGCTCAAATCCCACCCCATTCCAACCCCGGCACCTCCCGCATCCCGGGGTGATCCCACCTTTCCTGGGACACTCCCAGGGATT